GCGTGTGCGCGTGTGCGCGTGTGCGCGTGTGCGCGTGTGCGCGTGTGTGTGTGTGTGTGTGTGTGTGTGTGTGTGTGTGTGTGTGATGTAGAGGGCAGAATTTGATGGCAGGTGTCATCTTCAGTTGCTTGCCACCTCTTATTTTTTAACGATCGAGTCCCTCACTGAATCTGGAGCCTTGACTATTGGCTAGGGTAGCTGACCAAGCATGCCAGAGGGATGCTCCTGTCTCTACCACCGCAGTGTGTGGATTTCATGTGCTCTCCTTCTTACCCAGCATTTCCGTGGGTTCTTGCAGGGCTCTCTGTGTTTGTTCAGCAAGCACTTTAGCAGCTGAAGCAAGTCGTCAGGCCCTGCTTTAACCTCCATTCTTAATCAAAGGTTCCCTGACTGTGTGTCTTCCTCACCTAGAAACCCTCTTCTCACCTGAAACTGCCCAGTAAATAAAACAGAGACAGCGAATTACCCAGCTTATGTTTGTCAATCATCTCACCACTTTGGCAAATACGTGAGAAACAATTTGAAGGAGGAGAGGTTAACTTTACCCACAGATGCAAAGGGTTTAGTCCACGGTCTCCTGAATATGATACTATGGGCCTGTGGGAAGGCAATACATCATGGTGGCAATAGAAGAGGCTACTTGGCTCATGCTGTCAAGGAAGAAGAGAGCCGGACACGGAGGGAGTGGGACTAGTAAGACGATAACCCTCTGCAATGTCACACCCCAGTGACCTGCTTCCTCCAATCAGCCCTCCCTTCTGTTTTCTACCGTTCCCAATAATCCCATCAACTCATGACTCCATCAGTGAATAAGCCATTGATTGGGTCACTAAGGACTGATTGGATCCATCAGCTGGGAACCCACATCATATACACCCAATAAACCGATGCTTTATTTTAGTACATATAGGCTCCTGACAATATTCAGACACTAGTTAACACTGTCTGTAGATGTGATGCTTCTACATCTACAGCCGAAGGGGTACAGCTGATATGTTGCCTTTTTATGTCATGAGATATTTGTGTCTTGGCTTTTCTGAATCTGGCTGTTGGACACCTCACTTTGACTAAAGCTGCGGCATAATTTGGAGAATGATTAATCCTTTTTTTACCCTCCATTTCAGAATCGCTCATGAATGGACCCAGGAATGGAAAGAATGCCCTGACTATGTCACTGCTGGAGAAAATAGCTGTTACTTCAACTCATCGTACACCTCCATCTGGATACCCTACTGCATCAAGCTAACTACAAATGGCGATTTGTTGGACCAAAAGTGTTTCACTGTTGATGAAATAGGTAAGCCACAGGTTTGTTTCACTTGGCAGGACTTTAGAATAAATATAAAGGAAGCCCCAACTTCCAAGTACAATCAAGTGGAGAGACTTTGTGTTTTCAGATATATGGAGCCTGTCTCATGGGAGTCTAAAAGGACAGAGGAAAATTAACTGACTGTAGCTTAAGAAAATCTGGTAGGCGAGCTAGAGAGATACACAGTGGCTAAGACCACTGGCTACTCTCCAGAGGACTCTGGTTTGTTTCCCATCATCCATGTAGCAGCTAACAACCATCCTGAGTCTAGGGCAGAAGTTCTCAACCTTTCTGATGCTGTGACCCTATAATAGAGTGCCTCATGTTGTGGTGACTCCCCAACCATAAAATTATTTTTATTACTACTTCATAATTACAATTTTGCTTCTATTGTGAATCATGATGTAAATATTTGTGTTTTCCAACCTATCCTAGGCAACCTCTGTGACAGGGTCATTCAACCCCCAAAGGGGCCACTACCCACAGGTTGAGAACCACTTGTCTAGGGGTATCTGATACTTTCATCTGGTCTCTGAACACAAAATATACAGTGCACAGACCTGCACACAGACAAAACACCAATACTAATAAAATAAATAAATAAATTTTAAAGTTAAAAAAAGAAACCTGGTAGTAAATGCTATGAAGAAATGGATCAGGGTCTGAGGAATGGCTCGGTAGTTAAGAGAACTTGATGCTCTTTTCAGAGGACTCGTCACCCACATGTGTTTCACAACCACCTAGAACTCAGTTTCAGGAATCTTTTTCTGACCTCTGTGGCACCAGGTATGCCCCTGGTGAATATACATACAAGCAGGCAAGTAACATAAAATAAAAATAAATTTGAAAAAAATCTAATTAGAAAAGAAAAAAATCCATCCTTTCCTTTACAAAGTCTAACCCTGAACAGAATTCTTGTTGCCACAACAAGGCACTAACTCAACGTACTCTTAATTTTTCTTTAATTTTTGACAAGGTTTTCCTATTCAGATATACTGAAGAATGTTGACCTTTGACCTCTATCATTGTTAATCAAAGCCTAGATTGCCTTGATCACAAAACAAAATAACCATAGACTTTAGCATTAACCAAACAGCTACAATCAGGCCAAAGTCATGTTTATAGGATTTCAAACAAACACTGATGGAAAACACAAGGAAGCAAGTCAAAGAGCCATACGGATGATGCATTGCCCTTCCTGGGCACATGAAGAGGAACTGAAACAAGCAACCATGACTGAGATGTCCGTGTTTACAGCATTATAGTGTAAACAGCAAGAAGCAAGGAAGCACTGAAAGACTTTCAGTAGCTGACCTTAGTGCTGCAGAATCTAACCGCAAGAGCCCATTTGTTTCTCACGGAATTCCTGCCCCTTCTCTCAGACTAACGTGGTTTCTTAGGCAGCGGCGAACTGAAAGAGAGCAGGAAATGTGACTGAATGCTGCAGACAGAAGCAAGCAAAACCTGCAAGGCTGCCTTCCAGAGAGAAGGTTGAGAAAACTGCAAGAAGCAGAAAAGGTTGCCTGGTGGGTTGTCAAGGCTGCTTTTTATTAAATGGCCTCCCCCAGCTGCAGCGCTGATGCTAAGTGAGGGAATGGGTGGGTGAGTTGTAAGGTGTCTTGCTTAGAGTTTCTATTCCTGTGAAAAGACACCATGACCATGGCAACTCTTATAAAGAAAAATATTTACTTGAGGTGAGGGCTCACAGTTCATAAGTTCAGTCTGTTATCATCACAGTGGGAGCATGGCAGTGTGCAGGCAGACATGGTGCTGGAGAAGTAGCTCAGAGTCCTACATCTTGATGGCAACAGGAAATGGTGTCTCACTGCGAGTTATCCTGAGCATATATGGGACCTCAAAGCCCGCCCCACAGGGACACCCTTCCTCCAACAAGGATATACCTACTTCAACAAAGTCACCCCTCCTAATAGTGTCACTCACTATGAGCTTATGGGGCCAATTACACTCAAACTACAGCATAAGGATACTAGTTAAAGATTCACGCTCTGCCCCTGTCTCTGACAATAGCAAGCCTTACATAGCTGACTCTCACTGAGCTCCTGCATGTTTGCTGACTAGACTATATGATACAGTCAAGCAGTGGGATAGGGAGGTCCCAAACTAATTGCAGGACAATGTGCCACAACACAGTCTAGCAGTTCCTTGACTTGAGGGGTTTAGATGCATAAAAAACAAGGTAGTTGATCAAATGCATAAATAGCCTACTATGTCTGTGAGATGAAGAGGAGCCAGCTGAACCAAACTGTGACAGTTCAGTTATAAAGTATGTGACACCAAGTGTCACAGGCCTTCCCAAAACTACTCTATTCTAATGGTGACAAAAGAAAAAAAAATGGTTATGGACTCAAGAGCAATTGCATAGGTCTAGCACCCCCTTGAAAATTCACCATTGGCTTTGTGTACCTCACAAAAAAGTTGGGCTTGGTCTTACTGCCAAAAGTAACATTCCCATGTCTTTAAAAAAGTACATTACTATGTCTTATATAATCATCATAAGAGATAGGCTCTATTATGAACCCCATTTTATAGATAATGCAACTGAGACTCGGGACTGTTAAATAATGGCATCAAGGTAAAATATGATAGCAGATAAGGTGTTATTTTAACCTACCACCAGTATGTTTTAGTGTTTCTGAGAAATTGACTTTGCCACTCGTGGTTGATAGGTTGGAGAAGGACAAACTAGAGACAGAGCTGTTAAAAGACTGAAGTCAGGTGAAAGATGATTTTAAAAAATCACAACAGTATCACAAAAGAAAAAGGAAGAGAAACTGAGTGAAAAGGCAAAGTCTATAGTAAGCTTGGTATGTTCTGAGAAAGGATGTCAGTGGCCGGAACCCATAGTTGACTCGTGTATTGAGCATCTATTATTCCTCACAGGGCTGTTCTTTGGATTTAGATGAAATGATAGATTAGTTAGATGCTTGTCATTCATTCAGCAAATATTGTACCCTTACCTTAGTCAGACAGCATTTCATATGATGAAAAAGAAAATGTCTTTCTAGCAGAGTTGAATCCCAGTAAGGGTGGAAAGAGTCGGAGCCATGGAGAAATTCAGGGAACAAGCACCGAGTGTGGGAGAGGCTGCAGTGTTATGTAGGATCATCAGGATTGGCTCCCCTGAGGAAGGGGCAGCTGAGTAAAGAACGCTTCTGTTTCTGAGAGAAAAGTATTTCATCAGGAAGGCATGGACAACCATCCTGAGATACTAGCATGCCTTCCTCACAAAGAAAGCACAGGCATCAGAAATCAGGAGAGCTAATGCAGACTGGGAAGGAAGGGGAGTGGAAGAGACAAGATTTGATAGAGTTATTTTCAGGCTCTTGTAATAACTGTGGCTTTCATCTGGAGTGAGATAGAAAACCCTGGAAGGTTTTTGGTGATTACTGAATGCCCTAACTTAAGAGATAAGGGAATCGTTGTGTCTGTGGAACTGGTGATTGTGTGGAGAACAGATTGAAAGAAAGGGGCAAAGACCTAAAGGAGACAACATGGAAGAGACCAACACAGTGAAAAGTGATAATTCTCTTTCATAGAGAAGCTGACATAATCTGTTCATAGCATGACAATTCTTCCAATGAAAGTTATAGATCGGATCTAAGGCACAAAAGAGAATTGGGAAGCTTTTATAAATATTTTAAAAGTAAAACAGAACATTTTTATATTAAAAATGTTACTCTGTTATAAAATATAATCTAATAATGTGAATTTCTGGAAGAATTAAGAGTGCAGTTGAAAGAAATGAAAGAATTTGGTCTCTAAAAAAGGCAAGCCATTAATATCAAGTGCTTCTCTGGGGACTGGTTCTCCTTTGAATTCACAGTGCAACCCGATCCACCCATTGGCCTCAACTGGACTTTACTGAACATCAGTTTGACCGGGATTCATGGAGACGTCCAAGTGAGATGGCAGCCACCACCCAGCGCAGACATCCGGAAGGGCTGGATAGCTCTGGAGTATGAAGTTCAATTCAAAGAAGTAAACGAAACTAAGTGGAAAGTGGTAAGAATCACTACGTCCTATACTTGGACATTTCTTCTTCCTAATTCAGTAGTCACTTCCTTAATTGTGATAATATTTTCTTCCACCTAATACCACGTGCCAAGCTATGTGCCCTACAACTCATTATTAGAGGAAAACTGATATAATCATTAAATTAATATCTTAAAAGTCTATATGACAAAAAAATGCTGATGTGGATCTTCCATGTAGATCTATGAAAGACTATAGGGTGAAGAAAATCATTTCCCTAGTCATCTTTGGTATTCAGTTTACCCATAGCGCAAGGTCACACACTAACCATGCTGCTATCTTTAGAGATGAGGCTGAACAGTAGGATCACGATCAAGGTCAATAGTAGGTGATGACCAAATGTCTGCCCATGATTTTAACTGCTGCTACTCATTAGACCTCTATTAATATCTGTTCTTAGGTCTCTCCAGGAGAGAGACATAGAGAAGGAATTTACCTCATAGGGGTTTCAAAAAGATGCTTCGTTACATACCTCAGGGAAAATAAGTTAAGAGGTCCCAACATAGGTGAGCAGAAAGCAAGTTGGCCCCTGAACTTTTCACTTCTCTGCCAAGAGCATGGGAACTCGGCACTGAGATAAACTGCGCATGGCACACAACAAGAAGGGAAACAGGATTACCATGCCATTCCAAATATAACTAATTCTAAATCAGTCTAACCACAACCACAGCCCTGGCCAAGATAAGCAATTTCTGGGTAGACATGAGATTGTACCCAGCACCCTGGCAGGACTCACTCCCCAAATGTTGAGACATGAGGCCCTGTCCTTCCGTGTAGCACCAAAATGAAGTTAATTTTGTCAACAGCAGAGAGTACAATTTGTCTGCTTCAAACAGTTACTTGTCTTCAAGGTTCTTTTTTTTTCCTGAATCATTTTAATTTAGGTATCTGGTTTATAAGTTGGTACCAGAAAGGGGTTGGTTGGGTGTTAAGTCAAACAAGACTTTCTAAATCTGAATCATAATCAAACATTTATTCAACAACAAGGTACAGGAGCAACTACTTTACCCAAGGAACCAAGGGCATCTGAGGTTTTCAAACTGGAATCATTTACCTCTGAGGGTTCTTGAGACCATTCCAAAGGAGCATATAAGGTCAATGCTAATTCCACAATATATACTATAATAATATTTCTATTCCATCATGCAAAGACAGTGGTAAGGAAACTGCTGATTCTTGGCATGAGTCGAGGCAGCGGTCCCATTGTTTGCTGATAGCCACTATATTCTTCATCATTGTGAAGTTCACAGTAAAGGGTAGGAGCAGTTTCATAGGCGTCTCTGCTTAAATCTCAACCTTTGGATCCGTCACTGTCTAAGTATCTGTGCGGCACATAAAGAGAACACGCAGTGCCTTTCTACATTCCAAAGTCATGATGGAGCAAAACACTTAAAGAACTGATTCAACAGCTGAACTAGCAACTCTTTTGCATGAAACACAAATTTTACATGAAGAGCAACAGATATACTAGTAGATCATTATTCATATCTGACTTGTCAAACGTTTCTCAAGAAGTTTACATTTCCAGTAAACATATAACAATGTTTGCACCTATGGCCAATTTTAACTCCCGGGAGATATGTAAAAGTTTTCAAATGTGTATCTATGAGTTTGATAGCCTTCCAAACATATGAAGACTTTATTCCAAAAAGATCCATGGTGATATTAGAAAAAATGGTGGTTTTATGTTATATAATAAAATCTGTGAAAACTTCCAAAGTCTACATCTTAGTGAACTGATATACTAGATAAAATAGTTTTTCAAATATTCTGAGAATAATTGTACTAATTATCATTATTATTTATCTTGTCAATGATGTTTTGAAATGTTTATACAAGGTATGATAGTAGAGCAATTAATTTTATGTATTCTTTCACATATTTTTTTAACTGACAGTTTAAAATCTGCTCTCTTGTATATCAGTAGAATTCAGATTTACTAACTTCAGATTCTAAGACGGTGGTTCTTAACCTTCTGAATACTGCGACATTTTAATGCAGTTCCTCATGCTTGACTCCCCAACCATAAAGTTATTTTTTATTACTACTTCATAACTGTAGTTTTGCTACTGTTATGAATCATGATGTACAAACCTATGTTTTCCAGTGGTCTTAGGTGACCCCTATGAAAGGGTCATTTGGTCCCCAAAGAGATTGTTACCTACAGGTTGAGAACTGTTGTTCTAAGCTGGTCAAGTATTTTTGACCAGTATTTTTGACCTCAGTATTTTTCTCCAATACTGCTGTCTGGGGGACCAGCCTCCAACAGCACAGGGCTTTGACAGGAATTCGTGGAGTTGGCGACTCTAAACTTTTCTATCTGCGGAGGATTAGGGAAAAGGGCATTCACAAACTCTCTTGGTGTTTTCCTTCTTTATTCCTTCTCTTCTTTATTCTCTGTCCCTTTATTCTCTCTCCTTCTATACCATGCTGTTTTATAGCTTTTATACCCCAACAGAATCGTCCAAGCAATACAAGAGTCAAAACAGTTATAATCCATTTTTCTCAAGTGAATGATTATAGTTAAAAACATGTTTTTCATCCCCCCACATGATTAAACATTTTATGTATTACAGGTGAAAAACAAATTATCCCAAGAAAGAACTCACATACATTCATACCCAAGCAACTTGTTATAGATTGACCATGTGGCAAAGATGTTCTTGTCAGGTCTTCTACTGGCAAGCTGCATTTTGCAGTTACAAAGAAAGGGCCAATTACTTTATTACTTATTTGAAAGGTAATCTTATAAGGAATCTTCAAAAATCACAAACCTAAACATTCATAAATGAAAAAGAATCAGTCAGCTCTACTTTAAATCTTTAGGGTGCATATCTATTCATTAATATTTTTTATATCAGGAGACTGAGGACATAAATTGGTATAAGGAACTAATCAACACCTTTGGTCATCAATCAAATCAAATCAAAGCAAGGGAGAATATGTCAATCAGCTAGTAATAATCGGGCTGCTTTGTTCTTGTTTCCTGACCTCAAAGAGTTCCTCATTCAACTCTGTGCCTTTTTAAAACTTTAAATTGTCTTCTAGGGTTTTTCACCTCAACGTTATTTATCAAAAACATCGTAGTCTAACTTTGTTGTTTTCAAAGCTTTGTTTCAGCTGTGGTGCATTCCGAGCCCTGTGAACACATCTCCCAACATTAAGGTTAAAAGAACTTAAACTAGCTGGACTATTGAGACTCACCTGTTAGTAGTTAACTTGAGGTACAATTCTTGCAACTCCGTAGGTGAGACTCACAGATCCTGGTTGTGAAATAGTCTTGCATTTATCATTATTCAACAAAATTCTGTGTAAGCTATTATTACTATTATTAAATTAGACAGTACAGCGTAGGGAGGGGTCATTTCTGAACAATTCCACAGGTAAAAATGCCCAGTAGAATGGGATATTTCCAAGAGATAAACACACTAGATTATAAGCAGTGGAGATCTTCCCACATCCACTTACCCCCTGCTAGATACCAGAGAAAGAGAGCCACAGTAAACATATAAAGGCACAGCAGAAGCAAAAGACATTTTGGGGTCTGCAGTCCCATGACCTTGCCTAAACGAGATTGGCCCATCAGAGGATTCCCTTCTTCTGGGCTGACACCTGGAACTTCAATTGCAATTCGCTGCCCCTCTGGCATGGCCCACAGCACTCCAATCTGATTTTTTTTATTTTTTTCACTAACATCTCATCAACCTCCAAACCTGTAGATCCTGGTATCACAGAGGTGATCGACTTCTGAGCTCACTTTTGAGGATTCCACATATAATTGAGATCATGTGGAATTTGTCTTTCTATGCCTGTTTTATTGTATCTGAAATATTCTATTGTCATCCATATTGGAAAAAATATTCAGTAAGGATCATAGTTTTTCATTCCCTTCATATCCCATTTTCTCATCCTTTTATCCATCAATGGATCCAAGCTGATCCGTATTTTGGCTATTGCAAGTAATACTACAATTATCATGAGCCGGCAAATATATCTTCAACATACTGATTTTACTTTGACTATAAAACCATTAGTGAAATAGCTAGATCATATGATAACTCTACTTTTTATTATTTGCGTAACCTCTATATGCTCTTTAACCTTTGCTGTCCCCATTTTCATCTCTACGAACAAGTTAGGAAAGTCATCAGAAGTCCTACCCTCCTGTGAATGTTTGGAGTTACTTGCCTGCAAAGATAAGCCCTCTGATAGCAGTATAAATGTTATGGGAGTAACTAGTTTCTGGTTAGAGTTAAAGCCTTCTCCACAAGGTGGAATCCATGCCTGACATCATTAACCGAGCCAGATTAACACAGCTGGCTAGGTTATGCATCCTGGAGAAGAACCTAGTACCGTTATTCTTCTAAATGGACACAGTAACTAACTGCCGCCCCCCAAGTTATTATCATTCTTCCCATAGATTAATAACACCTCTTGGCCCTCATCAGAGAAGCTTCTTTTTTCAATAGATAATGACTAATACAGAGAACCACAATCCATCAACATGCAGAAGATACAAGACAGCAGAGCATTCAACTCTGAATAGAACATCCATATATCCTACCCCTTCCTCCCAAGATTTAAAGATTACTGAGGAAGAAGGAAAAGGAATATTAGCAGAGTCTAATGATGCCTATAAGGAAACTATTTGCTGGTCATGACAATGCAATTACACAAGGGAGCTCCTAGCACCAGGGATGCATGAAGCAAAAAGCTAACACAGTATCATGCCAACAAAAATTCCACTATGGATGGGGAGAGGTTCATGAGGTACCCCCCCATCTGAGAAGCTGTTGGAGACTGTTGGAGCTGTTGGCTGCTGGGAAAGGGACAGTCAGTGTTCTTCAGGGATGTGAGACCTGAGAGACTATCCACGTTCCAGCAAGTGGTCCCACACCTATGCACATAGAAACAGTAAATAGACTGAGTATTTTGAGAGAGAGAGAGAGAGAGTTGGGAGGGAAAAGTGGTGGAGATTAAGAATAGAATAGAATGTGGGCTTGATCAAAACACAGGTATTTATGAATGTTAAATAAAATTTTTCTCATTTTTATTAGCTGATTCTCAGCCATTAATGGCCAAATAAACCTTTTTCTGTTGGAAAGGTGGAGTATTGCATGTTTTCTATCAACAGGAACATGAAAGCATGTTGAACGCCACCTGCTACGTGTTTGACTTTAAGGAAAGCATCATAATGACATGGATCTTGGGTCCAACTCTCTGAAAGCAATGCCTAATTGGCTAACCCTCTACTCTCACTTCCTTTCTCTGGGGACAGGGTATCCTAACTTTAAAAACTGTGAAATGTTGATGCTCAATGCCCAGAGTCTCCAGTGACTTTCTGTTATATTCATTTTCCTGGGGTAAATGTGATCCTCTAGATATGATACCAATGACAGATCAATAAAACTATTCCACCTAAATCCAACTTACCATACCAGTGAGTTTATTGCGTGCTGAAAGGAGAATAGATGAGGTTCACCTACAGGAGTGTGGATGACACCAATGCGCCTACACTCGCAGGGTAACCGCCACAGCACATGACTCATGAAAGTGACATCTCAGCTACTCCCTTCCCAGCTTGAAAGAGGCTAAGGTGATTGGTTCCTCTTCCCAGAGATACTGTGTACATAACCCTTGTAAAAGGCCTTGTGAATCACCTAGGCTTCATGAACTCCCAGCCTTCTGAGTTTTGCGTACTTCCTAAGTCTGAAAACCTCCTTTCAGAAGATAATGTTTCCATTCAGAGGAAATAGCTACGCTGCACTTTCCTACACAGATTCTAGAAAAACAGACTTTTCTGAGGTAGATTTAAGACTTCTGGCATAAATAAAGTGTGTAGCTGTTCCCAGTAAAATTATTGACATTTTAAAACAACTATAGTATTTCTAGAATTATTTCAAATTCTGTGATTATTAATAAATGACTACCAAGATTTTCCAGAGAATATATATTCTACAGATATATAATCTACTTGTGGCCTTTGAGGTGTGGAAATTTGGAGTTTCCTGTTCTAATATATTGCTCTATACAAAACCGTAAAGTCCCAGAGAAGTAGGTAAAATATTTGTACTCCTCTTGATAGCTCTGCCATGCTCAAGCCTGTTATAACTTAATCTTAGTGGACTATCTCATGACCCAATGCAAAGACATAACCTTATTTCTTTAAGCAAATATGTACCTTTGAGATTATACTAAGAGAAATTTGAGGATTGGTATTATTATTTTAACAAAATTATTATTCTTTTAACAAAATTATTCTTTACATAGCTTGTCTCAGTTTAATATTATTATTTAATATTATTTAATAGCCAACTCCCTCTGGACATGTTAAAATACTACTCTAAAAATAGTAACCCCGTGTGAGGAGAAAAGGGAAAACACTTGCATTTGTGCTTTGAGTGACTGGTACCTGAGGCAGTATGTCTTTATATTTTGTTTTGAAAGACGGGCCCTTTATGGTCAACATCAGTTCCACTCTACTCGTTGAGACTGGAAAAGGAATATGAAGTGCGCGTGAGATCCAGACAACGGAACGTGGAGAAGTACAGCGACTTCAGTGACGTGCTCTACATAACATTTCCTCAGATGAACGCAGTGACGTGTGAAGAAGGTAGAGCGGGGGGTGGGGGTTAAATTGCTGCTAGCATGACTTTTGGTGAATAGCAACTAACATGTGCTTACACGGTTAGTATATTGTCTAGGTCAGTATACCCTAGTTTCATGTATCAGGGGCAAGACATTGAAGTCACACTATCTGTAGAAGATGCATGCATTGGAAAAAATACAAACAAAAGGAGGGACTGGAGAGATGGTTCAGTGGTTAAGAGCACTTCCTGTTCTTCCTCAGGACCCAAGTTCAATTCCCAGAACCCACATCAAGAGATTGACAACCACCTGTAACATCAGCTCCAGAAGATCCACCATCTCTAGCCCTTGCCGGCACCTGCACTCAGATGCATGCATACACATAATTAAAAATAATAAAGACAATTACAAAGAAATAACAAAAGGATTCCGTTTCCAAATTATTTGATTTAGGAAAGGTCCCAGGGCAGGTGAAAACTCAGACAGAGGAATAAGGTGGTTGTTTGTTCCTGAACAGTAGAATTCTAAGGGAGTATTTTTTTCCTTTGTATATTTCTTTTTTTATCTAGATTTTCAAATTTTTCTGCGATGTGTTTGTTTTGCATTTGTAACTGGAAGAACCAAGGTTACCTAAAGTTTGGAGACAAAACAGTAGTGCTTGTGGATTTGGGGAAGCACAGGTGTGGTGTGCATACTTAGAGAAAGCCCAGCAAGCCATGTGTTTGTTAGTCATATTCGTGGGGCGCATGAAGCGTTTGGAAATTCTACACAGGAGAAACACAGAGATGACTCGGGATTTCTAGCTGTAGTTAGCTTCTGCCTTCGTGGAAAGAATATGGGTAACTAACCTTGAGGTAACTAGGGGCTATTTAGTCATAAGGAAAGAGATGGAGGTTTCACAGACAAATTCTCCCAAGGCTCATAAAGCATACCAATATCTGAACAACCTCAGTACAATGTATATAAGCAGTTTTAAAGCCATAAAAACTGTTCTATGTACCTAGATATATCATGGTTACTCTGCCCTCACAATGTTTGTACAGCCTCAACATGGAAACTAAAAAATTATCATTACAGCTTAAAATATCAATTGAGCTTTATTTACCTAGGTTTCACAAGCAACAATTTCTTCTTGGCAAAGAAGCTTTGGTGATATTCCTTAGATATTTGAAAATATAAAAATATTACAGTTTTGACTTTTTTGCAACCTATTTGAAACATGTGTTTTTGGTTTTGAATTTTTCCTTTTCAATAATAATGTAGTTTTGAAATTGTAATATGATTATATCATTTCCCCTTCCTTTTCCTTCCTCCAACACTCCCGTGATGCCACCACCATCACTGCCACCTCAATTTCTCTCATATTTTTTACCTCTTTTCTTTTTTTTGTTTGTTTTTGCTGTTGTTGTTGTTTTTGAGACAGGATTTCTCTGTGCAGCTCTGGCTTTCCTGGAACTCACTTTGTAGATCAGGCTAGCCTTGAATTCCCAGAGATCCACCTGCCTCTGAGTCCCAAGTGCTGGGATTAAAGATGTGTAACATCATTCCTAGTGACCTCTTTCTTTAAATGATTCTAAGTACACACACACACACACACACACACACACACACACACACCACACACTTCTGTATGTGCGTGTGTGTGTGTGTATGCATGCGTGCATGTGTGTGTTTTAATCTAAAGGGATTTACATTTACAGTGGACAAGCACGTTGTATCCTTAAGAAAGAAAGAAAACCCAGATTTATCTACCATGTTTCCATGGTTATCAAGAAAAACACTAACTTGGTCATATGAATTCAGATTAACAAATGTTTTCATGTGGGAAAGGGCAGTGCAATGTAATCTTTGCTTCAATTATTCATAGTTCTGTTAGTGAAATATTCTTTCCTGTTTTAGATTTCCGGTTTCCATGGTTCCTAATTATTATCTTTGGAATATTTGGAGTAGCAGTGATGTTATTTGTAGTGATTTTTTCAAAACAGCAAAGGTAGGTGGAAACACTCTAATATGTTTTTTTAAGTTCTGATGTCCTTGTGCACTCCCATGTGTTGTGTCAAAATTTCCCGTGTAGAACCCTGACTGCTCTTAGGACTGGAGAGGGAGGAGGAGAGGGAGTGGGGGGAGTGGGAGGGTATTGGGAGGAGGGGAGGAAGTGGAAATTTTTATAAATAAATAAATAAATAAATAAATAAATAAATAAATAAATTTTAAAAAAATTCCCTTGTAGAGTAGCAGGTAATATTTTAATTAACCCAGAAAATTTAATTTCTGGTTTTGCCTTCACCACACCTATACTCAGTCTGTAGTGTTCACCTTAGAAAATAGATGGTTTAGATCAGGATGTCGTGTAGCACACTAAAAGGTTTGCAGTAGTGCCTGTGTGTATGTTGACAGCACTTCCTTATCTGAAGAGCTCTCCAAAGCTGCTCAACAAGTCACCTCTTCACCTCAGGACCCCACAGTACCCCTGGGTGTTGAGCAGAATCTGCTGCCATCATCATGTACAATCTCATTGAAACAACAAACTGAACCCACCTGGACACTTCATTCTAAGAAACTTTCTCAAGCTTTTTCATAAGGTGTTGGTTTCAAATAAATTTTGGTTCCATTTAAATTATTTGCTCATCCATGGTTTTCCATTTTACCTATGTTTGTAAATTCAGTCAAAATTCCTTCCAACTTTTTAAGAAATTCTATTTTGCAGTCTTTTGGAGTCCAGCGAGTTGAGTACAACTATTCAACCCCGGCTGTCTGAGCTAGTTATACCATTCATCCCCTCTGACAGTCTACGCTTTTGTGTGCAACGTCATCTTTTAAAGCCATTCCAACAATAAAATATCATTTTTCCTCTTGAAAATTTAGATTACAGAAAACTTTTTTGCAACATGCAGGAAAAAAATATTGGTTTATTTGCCCTTTTTTACATTAAGATATTTTTAGAATATCATGAGATGATGAGCCTCTTTTTAGGACAAATATGACTACTACTTTCAAGATTCCCAGGACTCAATTGGTCTTTGCACTGTAAGTCCTGCATCCTGGAAATCCTTCAGTTTGGGGCCACCAATAGTCGGTTGCTCTATTTAAATTCAAATCAAGTCCTTCAGCTGAAGTCTAGAGGTATCAGTGACTCAAAATGAAGTGTAGGAATATATGGTTTGGGCTTTCAGTTGTTGCAACAATCCAAAGTTCTCAAACCTCAAAGTTAGCCATCCTCAAAACAGAATTCTACTAGAAATAACTCAGGTAATACTAGCACACTCTTGAATGCCAAGAATACTAAAAGATTACAATTGAATGACCTCTATTTTCAGCCATGTTTTATGTAAATTTTTATGATGTAAATGAGGGGGAACGCAAAACTCAGTGCATAATTTCATTTTGAACTTATCTTATTTTTAGCCACATTCTTGTTTTGTGAAAACATCTACTACAATTGAAACAACAGTGTTTTCAGTTGTTTGAGAAAAATAGATATATCTTGAGAATTTTAAGTGTGAACTTGAATAATGCCAACAAGAATCAGATTAATGGATTTGATTAATTAATCTATAGAACTAGTGAAATTCCAAAATTTGTATGAAATTGTAGTAAACAAAATTGCTATGTATATGAAGCCATTCTTAACACTAGTTATTCATTTCAAGTCATGAAGGCCAAGAAAAGATGTGAGATTTTCTAACTATATTAGCTTAAAAATATGTGAAACAAACTATCACCCTCTCAATAAATTGGATTTTAAATATATTACATATATATTCAAAATCATACATAAATGTGTATATATGTGTGAATATATGTGTATATATTTATATGCATTAATATATTATACACATCAATTTGTTGCTATTAAAATATTAATGATTAATATTATATAATATATGTTGCTTATAATTATATCATATGATGTCATATAACATATTTTAATTATAATAGTTAATAATATAATAAGTGTTATATAATATATTACAAATATACATCCATATATTGTGCATATATGTATATATATACATATTAGCCTCTATTTTGCTTTGTTTGCTCATACTGATTGATTTTTAACTTCTGATTCTCCTGCCTCTACCATTCTGTGGTGCTAAGAATTCAACCCAGGGCTCTATGCATGCTAAAGAAATATTATACCAACAGTGTTCAGTCATCACCTCTAACTAAAAGAATATTTTGTTTTCTTGTTGTTATGGTGAGGTTAGGAGATAAAGAAATGGGTTTCACTGAATGTTTCCATGCATATACATCATCATGTCTCTTATTTCCTCCTATTGCCCTCCTTCTCCAAACTCCTCTCCTTGCTGGTCCTCTTCTTCCTCCCTTCTGCTTTCTGCATATATATCACATTATCTTGCCTATTCTCTACATTCCCTTGCACCTCTTCCTCGTCTCTCAGAGTCTCCTTTTCTCTTTTGTTTCCTACATATATAGATATATGGAGAAATTTAAATCTTCATTCCGTATCTGAGTGAGAACATGGTAGCTTTTGTTTTTCTGCATCTGCCTTATTTCATGGAACCTAACAGTCTCCCGATTCATCCACCTTACCGCAAGTGTGATTTTATTTCCACTATGGCAGAATATAGATAAATATGTGCACCACACTTGCTAAGAGTATATTTTCTATAAATAACGAAGCTCTAAACAAACTGTAATGCTCAGTCAAAATCAGCAAATTGTAAAATCCATTTGAAATCCTTTGCACTCCTGCTCTCCCGTGATAATTTGAGTTTTTGTAGAAAAGAATCAATTTCTTTCATTTTCCTACAGAAACCTTTATCGCTACCCAAATTTACATGCGATAAAAGCAGAAAATGATAGGAAATAGCACCAACTGGGACAAAACTAACACACAGTTCCAACATTAGAATGCTCCAGGTCTTGCTCAGAATCCCAGGGATATCAAAGGCTCCAGGATCAATGTATCTTTCAAGTTTGTGAAAGAAGTTTACCCTGTTATAATCCAGATAATTAAAAGTAAAGGGAGGCAAAGTTCATATTGACTTTTGTATTTGAATTAAGTGAATTTGGACATACTTTCAACCCAGGCTCTTTTTCTTCTGTGCTTGTTCCCACTCTATGGCCGACCCAGCCCTTAGCTACTAATTAGTGAAAGAAAGATCTGCATTTCCATACAGCAGAAGTGAGACTGAGTGACCGTAGGTCCACAGTGTACTTTTGGTTTCTATTTTGGAGTGAGGATTTTGCTATAAAGTATGAGATGTTGTGAGACTCCTAACAATGGGAGGGGGTGTGTCTCTGACTCTTTTCCTGCTCTTGAGACTCTTTTGCTCTTATTAGGTTGCCTGGGCCAGCCTCCATTTGAGAACTTTCACCTTGTCTTATTGTATCTTGTTTTGTCCTGTTTGGCTATGTCTCTTGGATGCCTGCTCTTTTCTGAAAAGAAAACAGAGGGGGAATTGATCTAGGGGAGATGGGAGTTGGGGACCAGGGGGCAGGGTGGAGGAGTGGAAGAAGGGTAAACTATGGTTGGGATGTAGTGTATGAGACAAGAATCTGATTTCAACAACAACAAAAAAATGAGCCTCTGGCTTAGCACTGAATGTTGAGATGTGTAATAAACTAGGCCAATCTCCCTTTGTCGAGCATGATCTGAAGTAGAGAGCCATCTCTCCCATTAGAGGAGATACACAGCGTACCGGCATCACCATTCCTCTTAATAATAACACTGCAACCCACCCGGCTCATTGATTTACACTACCAGCTTGGACCCTTAGGGTTTGGGAGTCTCTGTGGTTTAATGTCATCACAATTACAGAAGCCACTAACATTTGCAAAAATAGATCATGTTCTTCATAAGGGAAACATGTCACAAAATCAAACATTAGCCATTTGGGAATATTTGTTTCATCTAATTGAGGTTACTTTGCATTTTTATATATTTGAAAACTTAAAGTATGCATTTATAGACCAAACAACAAAGCAGCATGGCATAGGGCAGACAGCCTGTCTTTGGAGCAGTCATTCTGGGCCTGAGCAGCAGCCCAACCAATGTCCTATGTATGACGGGAGTGCACAGACAATATCATCTCTATAGTCAGACTTTCTTTGGACCTCCAGCTCCCAGATAATGACATGGAGACTTTTTATTAATTGCAAAAGTTTGGCCTTAGCTTAGGCTTATTACCAACTAACTCTTAAAACTTAAATTAACCTGTTTATATTAATCCACGTTCTGCTACGTTACCTCTCCTCCACATTGTACATCTGACTTCCTCCACATCTCATGGGTGAATTTTTGCCTCTCTAAATCTCCCCTGAGTTCCTCTCTTTCCCTGGAAGTCCCACCTATCCTCTCCTGCCTAGCTATTGGCCATTCAACTCCATTATTAAACCAATCAGAAGGTGCCTTAGGCAGGAGAGGTAAAACAAAGACATCTTTACACAGTGTGATCAAATATCCCACAACACATCTCCCTTTCTGGTAGTTGTAAGGATTAGATGAATTGCTTGATGCAGGAGTCAATCCTCTTGTTCTATAAACAATCATAGGGTAAGGCTTTAAACTCTAGGGGCCATATCTGTATCACAACCACTCAGTTTCCCCACTGAAGTATGGAAACACCAGAGTTCACAGTGTTAGCTTTAAGGCAAAAACTTCAGTTATGCTAGCAATAAATAGATGGTTTATTCTAATATGTTCAAGCAGCTTCCATGTACTAAGTAATAAAATCTCAATAAGACACAAAATCTATAGAATAATCATTAAAATTAATTATTCTAGGGACTAGAGAAGTGACTCAGCAGTTAAGAGTATGTACTTCTCTTGTAGAGAACCTATGTTCAATTCCCAGCACCACCTAGGGTGGCTCACATCTGCTTCTAACTCCAGCCCCCGGGGATCTGAAGCCCTCTTTTTGCCTCGCTTGGCACTCACTCATCTGTGGAGTATATTCAGGGAGACACATAACATAGATCTTAAGGGGAGTGCATGAAAGGGGTTCAAGAGAGGACAACTAGGGGAAGCTGGAGGAAAGTGAGGAAGGGGAAACGTGATGTAATTCAATTTCAATTAAAAACATTAAAAATAAATCTTTTCTCCAAAGAAAAAATAATCTCAATATTTGAAGGAGAAACTGTAAATACATCATAGTATTATGTATATAAATCTGTCCTAGTTAGAAATAATTCAGATTAGTCTGTTCTATTTTAAATGATCCATTCAATGTCAGTCTGGTTAGAAGTCATCTTCAATGTTTTATGGTTGTTATGGACTGTACAGTGCTAGCTTAGTCCCCCACACACACTCTTTTTCAAGGGTGAAAATGACTTTGGTTTCACTTTATGGACTAGTTTGTTTGTTTCTTGGTGCTGTGTGCTTTAAAGGTATCCTATTTATGAGTTACTTGGAAGTTGGCTCTAGACAGAGTTATATTCCTCACAGTCAAATATTAAAATTTGCTATTCATCAAAAGTGCTAAGCAAAAAGAAAATAAATAGAAGAAACCATATTTTACTGAAATAAAGGCTTTTTATAATGTTTTTCTCCTGTACTTTTTGTCACCAACTGTTTAATACTTTCCCTCTCTTTCTCATAGAACATGTAATCTTTAAGATCTGTAAAAATAAAACTTTATTTGTTTTCAAGGATTAAGATGCTGATTTTACCCCCAGTCCCGGTTCCAAAGATTAAAGGAATTGATCCAGATCTTCTCAAGGTAATTAACTCTAAGCCGTGGGTCATTCAGTTAAGTAACACCTGAAGAACACTGTCCTCTGTTGAGAGGGTTTGGGTTGTATGTTTGGTTATTGTTTTTGGTTTGGTTTTGTTCTCTTTTAGCAAGCTCAATACATCCTATGAACATTATTTAATCGTTTTGAGTTGTTTTTCATAGGTCTCCATTTTCTGTCTGTTTCCTAGGAAGGCAAACTGGAGGAGGTGAACACCATCTTGGGCGTTCATGACAACTACAAACCTGACTTCTACAATGATGATTCCTGGGTCGAATTCATTGAGCTAGATATCGATGACGCAGATGAAAAGAGTGAAGGGTCAGACACAGACAGACTTCTAAGCAAAGCCCACGAGAAATCACTCAACATCCTTGGGGCAAACGACGATGATTCTGGGCGCACCAGCTGTTATGACCCTGACATTTTGGACACTGATTTCCACACCAGTGACATGTGTGATGGTACCTCAGAGTTGGCTCAGCCACAGCAGTTAAAAGAGGAAGCCGATCTCTTGTGCCTTGACCAGAAGAATCTGAAGAACTCGTCTTACGGTGCTTCCCTTGGCTCTCTGCACCCCTGCATTACCCTAACTGCGGAAGACAAACCACAGCCACTTGTGAGCGGTGAAACTGAGTCAGCCCACCAACCTGCCTCTACACCGATAAGCAATCCTGCTTCACTGGCAAACATCGACTTTTATGCCCAAGTAAGCGACATTACACCAGCAGGCAGTGTAGTCCTTTCGCCAGGCCAAAAGATGAAGGCAGGGATAGCCCAGTGCAACTCGCAGCCACAGCCAGAAGTGGCTGCGCCCTACCAAGAAAATCACAGCATGAACAGTGCCTACTTCTGTGAGTCAGATGCCAAAAAGTGCATCGCTGTGGCCCCTCACTCGGAGGTCACGTCATGTGTAAAGCCAAGCTTTAACCAGGAGGACATTTACATCACCACAGAAAGCCTTACCACTACTGCCCGGATGGAGACCGCAGAGCTTGCTCAGGATGCCGAGATGCCTGTCCCAGACTACACCACTGTCCACACCGTGCAGTCTCCCAGGGGCCTTATACTCAACGCAACCGCTTTGCGTTTGCCTGAGAAAAAGAAGTTCCTCTCCTCGTGTGGCTATGTGAGCACAGACCAACTGAACAAGATCATGCAGTAGCCTTTCCGATCTTACGAGCAAACAAATGGCTGGGCATGAATGCCTAAACCAAAACCAGGTTTTAAATCTGTGCTGGGAGAGTGAGATGGTGTGTGCGGATTCTAAAATACTTTTTCTGGAAATGTTGAAACATTATCATAAAGTGGAAAATCAAGAATACTTAATCAGTTAGATACTCCCATTGTGAATTATGAATACTTTAAAGAATCGTCTCTAATACTGCTTAGTGGCAGTGATTGTCTGTATTGTGGGTCTTAATTTTGTGATACTAAGCATTAAATAGTTATGGTTTTCATGTACGTAAATCATGCTTTTTGAAAAAGCAAAACAATCAGGTGGCTTTTGCAGTTCAGGAAATTGAATGCAGATTATATAGCACAGGCTAATTTCTTTTTCTTTTTTAAATAACTGGGAACTAAAATTCTAGGCGAGAAGGTAAGGCTAGTTTGGATAGGTAAAACACTTATTTTGACAAAAGAAATTGATAAAGATATTTTTAATAATTTACACTTTAAGCATGGCTATTTTATAATATACCACACACATATTGTAGTTCACATGATTCATCCAAGGATGTTAGAAACTACAGTGTAAAGAATAATGCTTTGGTTAATGAACCGAAAGAAAAACAAACAAGTTAGATTTTTACAAAGCCCTTTTTTATAACTCCCAAAATTTCTTAAATCTAAAATGTCCAATAACCTGCATTATTGGAACGAATTCATTTTAAAGGTTTAAATGGATATTTTTTAATTGATGAAACAAAATTTTTATACAGATCAACATATCACACACCCAACAATAACAGACATGAGAGTTACAAAAAAACCACTTTCTTCACCAAATTTAAGTTCAAACCACAGGGCTCCACGCTAAGAGAAGCAGAAGGGACAGTGGTCCCCATCGGTCAGGTTGTGGAAGAGCTGCGGACACACGTGGCGTGGGGTTTTGAGAGCCCAGGGGTTGGGAGAAGAAGGCTCCCACACCTGGGCAGCACTGTCTCTTCAAACACAACTTGGTTTTTGCAGGACCCTAAGAATTAATTCGTACGAAAGGAAAGTCACCTGTTGAAGCACAATGGATAAAGCTAACCAGGGAACAGAACAGAAAACTGAAGGCCTAGATCTTTGTTTCACAGCCAGGCACATACTTCTAACTCATGGGGGAAAAGGGACAGAATAAATGAGTTTCCCGTCACAAAGGACAACTGAGAATCAATTAAACAAGTAGCAGAAACTTTGTCATCAAACCGTTTATAAGGTGTATTTTAAATAGTAAGAAAGGACTCATCACTTCTTATTTACCCCCAGGAAGATTAGTCTCAGACAAGGTAGAAAAACAGCCGATATAAAAATCACTCTTGGACTCCCAAATAACATAAACATAGTTCTTTCAGTTAGCCCCCCCAAGAAGATGTGTGAGAGAAAGAAGACTCTCAGCCCACTGAAGAATACGTCTCATTTTAAAGTATTTTTTAGAAGCTTGAAACTTTAAAGTTACCTTTAATTTTAATGGTATTTACCATTTTGCTCAGACCTTTGTAGGGAAACGGGCTTAATGTTTAGTGGTTTTAAATTCTCCTTCATGCAGGAGAGACAGTGACAATCTAGCATTGGGTGTTTACGGTTCACTGTGTTAATTACTTGGTAATTGATTTTAATAGATCTTTCTGCTACCTTGCTGCTATGGTTTCTCCAATGGCTACATGATTTAGTTCATATGAAATATCATCAACTCAGAATCTATTCAGCTTAAAGACGTGTGTTTTGATGAACTATCTTACCATTTCACCATAGGCTGACCATGTTTCTCTAGCCAAAATTAGCTAAATACCTCAATCAGTCCCAGAATGTCAGTTTTGGTACTCTGCTGGTCACACAGCCATTATTCACAGTATGACTAGTTGTGTCCAGCAGTCTGTATTTAACTTCCTTTTATGTCTGTGGATTTTCCCCTTCAAAGTTCAATAAATTTATTTTCTTGGATTTCTGATCGTGTGTTCCTGATAACCCCAAAATGAAAGCACCCCAACTCAGGTTGAGACCCGCACAGTAAAGGACTTGGCAGAGTTAGCATAAATAACAGTGGGTGGTGGCTCACAAAGGAGCAGAGGGGCAGGGGGTGACTAAGATACTCTTTGTCTTGTATGGACTGTGTCCTCTCTTGAGACTACGACTTCATGTGGACAGAGACCTACATGCTTCGAACACATCCTAACAGTTAAACGGTGAGTTCAAGCTGATGTAAAGTCTGTGGGAAACGGAAAGAGGGGGAAGGTTGGCATTCTCTCTGAGCTACATTGCTAGCTTGAGCTAGTAACTTCTCCTGGTCAAAATGATCTCCTTCTGGTAAGTCACATGGGAATGGGTTGCAAACTACAAAGTCTAGAGATACACCATACTTTAGACTTCAGTAGGACTCCTGTAGCCAAGCAGATGCCATGTGGGAGACAGAGGAGGTGATGCTTCCAGAACTGTAAAAAGAGTTATAAATGCCACTGGAGGAAAAACTTCCAGGCCTGGGAACCCCTTCCCTCGCCCTGAGATTCTATCCCTCGCAAATAAGCTGTCACTTGGGTAAGGAAAGGAAGTGAAATCCCCGCTGGGCAGCTGCACAACCAGCTGCTGCATGGACTGTTGCCAATGTTGTGGTTCTGGAGCCGAAAGCTTGCTGCTACACATGAGGACCAAGTGTGTTCTGTGATTCTGTGACCATCTGGTTGCTTGTTTGAGCTAAAACAGTCCTCCCCCAACCCAGATGTATTTGGAAACATTTGTCATTTCTTGAACAAAGTTTGTGGTTCCTAGCTCTACGTTCTTGCCCCTGCCCCTTTCTCAGCAGGAAAATCTCCACATATCAAATGTCTTTCAAAATCCTTCTTCAACCAAGGTTCAGTTCAAATGCCATCATGAAATTGATCCTCCAATTGCCTCCAGCCTTACTTAAGTGATCTTTCTCTCCTCTGAGCCATTTTTTCATGGCGTTTATCATTCCTCGCCCTTTAGTTTGCCTGGAAGTCATTTAGCATAGGGTTACTTACATACATGTCCTGAAAGCTCCTGATCCTAAAATGTTTTTAAATGAATAATTTTAAAGCAAAACAAGTTTAGGAAACCGCCATGACACATTTTTTTTAGATTTTTAAACATTAAAAAAATAAGCTTAACACATTATTTTCTAATTTTCTTAAAGATGAACTACATCACATAGGTCAGTGATGTGGTGGTTCAATTCCAGGCCACTGTGAAAGTCACTATTACAATGAAGGAACTCACAAGGGGTTTTTTTGTTTATTTTGGTTTTTGGTTTTTGGTTTCCCAGTGTATCTAGCAAGCTACTGATACTATGCTATGCTCTATTGAGTGGGCAGGAGTGTTACTTCTTAAAAATGCATACACATTAAAAAAATGATTTTATTTGCTTCATTACCATCTGAGCCTTCAGCAAATCATATCTTTCTTCTGGTTGGGTGTCCTGCCTTGATACTGATGGCTGATTTACCAGAGCGGTGGTTGAGGAAGGTTGGAGTGTCTGTGCCAGTTTCTGGCATCAAAGCAACAATGAATTCTTCCACACAATTCTCTGTGGTGTGTCATGTTCTCTGACAGAATTTCACCGACAGAACTTCTTTTAAATTCGGAATTAGTCCTCTTAAGTCATATTGGTGCCCTATAACTGAGTTTGCATTACATGCTAAATCTGCTGTTCTTGCTTTACAGGGTAGGGAAGAAGATGGCAACTCGAGAGAGTACTTTCTTCCTGGATTTTTTAAAATTTATTGTTTGAGAATTTCATACACAAATAATGTGTTTTCGTCAAATCCACCCTCTACCCCTTTAACTTCCCTTTATCTCCCAGCCATTTTCCCCTCCCAACTTGACAAACTCATTTTAAACCCACCAAGTCCATTTAGTGTTGTCATTATGAGTACAGTTTCATCTGTAGGAATACAGGCAGTGTACTGGACAGCCACATCCCTGAAGTAAACTGACAATTCCCTCTCCGAGCAACCGTCACAGGAAAGAACTTTATTTTCTTATCCACCAGCAGCTCCACACACATTAAAACTTAAGCAACTCACATCTCCGAGCTCAACTTCTACCTCTGGCTCCGTGACTGTTTTACCACGTCTGTGATTTCTTCCTCCGCTGAAGTCTTAAACCTTTCAAAGTATCACATGAAGACTGGAAACAACTTCTTTCAAATTTCTATTAATTTTGACATTTTTACTTCCTCCCATAAATCATAAATGTTATTTGAATCTAGATTGTGAATGTTTTCTGGAAGATTCTTGGTTTACTTTGCCCACATCGACCAGAGGACTCCTTACTTATAGCCATTATCTCTGACTTTCTGAAAAGAATTGGCATTGTGTTCATAGGCACGCAATCAACAAGAATCCCATTGTCATCTCCAGACGGGCTCTTTAATAACCAGATGCATTGTCAACAAAGAGCAAGATTTAACATTTTTAATAAACTGCTAATTTTTATGTATATTATCATTAGTAGTATACATTCAGTATATGTATTAACATGGTCTCATTATATCTATTAATGGGGTTCATATAATATTTTAATGCATACATTCAACATGTATTTATTTACCCATCCCTCTTCCTCCCTAACCTCTGCTGACCACAAATTTGCATTTGGGACTTAAAATTTTTCCACTTAAGAAAGAATATATGAGATTTATGTTTTTATGTCTAAATTATTTTATTTACATCATTTTAGAAACATTGGTGGAACCTGAAGTCATTATTTTTTGGTCAGTTTATTATAACAAATTCATTAAAATGAACATTACACAGCTAGATTAAGGAAGCCACTCAAACAAACATTTACTATGTCCCAAACTTTATGCATCTCAGTGGACTTCTGGAAAATTAGAGTACATATTAGAATACAAATGTTTACCTGCGACGATGATGCAGTTCTTTTCTCTTCCTGAGTTTGGGTGGCTTTGCTAATATTGTATTTTCTAAGTCCATGTCTTTTCAGTCAAATTTAATCTTTCTTTGCAGCTGAATAATACTCTTTTGTGTATCTGCCAAATCTTCATTAGACATTCATCTGTTGATGAACACCAAAATGGGATCCATTTCCTCATCATCATAAATTAAGCAACAATAAATGTGGAAGTGCAAATAGCTCTGTCGTAGCAAACAGAATTCTTGAGGTATATGCCCAGGAATTAAGCAATTGGATCATATGATAGTGCTATTGGCCACTTTGGTTGCTTCTTTTGAAACCCTGGAAAGACCTTGCATACTACTAGATTGATAGAACTGGTATCATGAAAATGACCATACTACCATACCTAAGTTAAAGATGTAATGCACTACCCATCAACATTCCAGAGTCACACCTCACAGATCTAGAAGAAACAATCTAAGAAATCATATGAAATTTCAAAAAAATGAAATCAATCTTAAAGAGTAAAGACATAGCTGTTAGTATCACAAAACCTGAAATGATACCATAAAGCTATCGCAATAAAGATAACCTGGTACTGGCATAGAAACTAATAGGTGGACAAGTAGAAAAGTCATAGAATGCAGAAATAAGCTGATAAACCTATGGCTTTTTGGGAAAAGGAGGCAAATGCATTCAGGGAGACATGATAACCTATTAAACATGGCACTGGCAAACCGATAGGCCCCTGCAGAAGGATGAAATTAGATTCAGATATTTTACCTTGTACAAAAATCAATTTGACGTGAACAAAAGATCTAAAGGGAAAGAATGGAGCAAGAAGGGTTAAATTTGGGCGAGGGACTGGAGGGTATGGTAGAGAATGAAATGTTGGGAGGGATAACACTAAAGACCTTTAAAAAAAAGGCAATTGAAAATCTACAACTGTAGAAGGTTCCTAAATACATATTCCTACATATTATATATGTACACGTATATAATGTACATATATGAAAATGAACTAAAATAAACTTACCCTGTATTAAGACAACAATGCCCCTCCTAGATGGTACTGAAAGGCCTAGTGACAGGGAAAAAAATTACTTTTTGGAGTTGTTGGCCACCCACCGAGGTCTCATAGACCTCCAAATTTCACAGGCCATTGCCATTGCTCTTGGTTAAACTCCAGAACTTGGTGGTAAGACTCAGTTGCCGAAGCTACCACAAACTTGAATCATGAACATGCCAAACTCAAGGTAGTATGAACTTCTAAACTTCATCCATACTGGCTAGCTTTTATGGTAGTGGAAGGTACTATGCAAGTTAGTGGAAGAGAAAGGTAATCATCATACTCAGCTATGACCCCTGAATGGTACAATAGTGGCTCATCTGGTGAAACGTGCCCACTGGTGCAGTAATGACATCAACATCATAGGAGTACCAACCACTTTCTGATTGGATTTCAGTTTCACTTCACAAGATGAAATCTGTACCTCGTACCATTATCAGGATAAGAACCTATGGCTTGATAAGTCATGGGCCTTAAGGGAGAACTTGCTATTTGCCACATGGACATAGTATTAAACAGTTCCCAATGATGAAACTCATAGACCAATGTATATCTCAATCCTCATCTGAGAAGCTTCTGTTTGCAGTAGATGGTAATTAAACAGTGGGAAGAGAAAGTCGGGGAACCTGGCTTCTGAAGAATTTAAAACCCCAAAGCCTACCCCCCCCCGCAATAAATGTTTCCTCTAACAATACCACACTTACTCCCCCAACAAAGCCACACCTCCTAATCCCTGTCAAATAGCACCACTTCCTAATGACTAAGCATTCAAATGTATGAAGGCCATTCTGAGAAGAAAAGGTCACAAAATTAAGAGGGAGGGAGGCGTATAGTGGTGAACTGATGTAAATATAATAATACTTTTGCATGAAATCCTCAAAAAACGTTATAAGAAAACAAAAGGAATATGTGTCGAGATATTGTGATTGGCTAGGACTTTCTGAATAAAACTTCAAAATCCAGGAATTAGCCCCAAGTACCAACAGACAAAATAAAAAAA